ATGGAAGGGGAGAGAGTGAGCGAGGTGGCATAATACTGGGGGTTGATGCGTGTGTATAGTGGTCAGAGGGAGAAGTGGTTCAACACACGCCAACACTTCCCACTGAGGTATGGCTCAGCAACACGAGGCTCCACGGTATTCTGCACGCCACCTTTTGCAACACGTGTGCAACCTGAAGGAAAGAGCAATAGCAAAGGTTTCCAGAGCGTTCTAGTGCAGGCTGGTGAAGTTACACGAAGGAGCGAGAAATAAAGCAAAGTGTACCTCCAAGACTATGCTGACTTGTGCTCGAGTTGAAGATCTGTTCCTTCACAACCAGACTATTCGTCTTAGTAACAATGAGAGGTAATGAAAGACATCTACTGCGTTAAAACCAAAACTCCTTAGCATCTGGGGGCACTAAAACACTAAGGTTTGCTCGTCTCCGTAATATGCTGAAAAGCACATCTCACTCTCAAAAACTCCAAGGAGGAGTTTTTGACTGAACTTCAGACTCCTGACTGAAAAAAGCCTTGGGAAGTCGTAGCATGGAAACAAAATGTGCGCGCTACCGCGGTAGCGGAGGCTGGCGTTCGACACCCGCCATCAGCTGATCCAGGCAGATCGCAGTAGCGCTCCTGACGTCACCGCCTTAACCATGCAATGTTTATAAGCGCACGTGACTACATTAACCATTCCAAGCGCTAACACTCAGTGCGAAACCACATTCTGTTTGCTTACTGCTTAAGATTCCCAAAGTTTACCAGCATTACAAGTATACATGAGGTACTCACATTCGGTAGGAGTTAATTGCCTTGGACATAGTGGCGTTGTGGGCTGACCCAGGTCATCGGCATCAAGTTCTTGGAATATGGGACTTGTAACTCGAGATAGGCGTTTAAGTTGTCTTGATTGACGGGGGATACGGTAGGTGGCAGGCAGGAAGGGCAGCCCACTAGCCTGCCAGGGACCCCAGCGGCGTGCCCAGTGGCAGTAAGCTTAAGGAAGCAGCCAGCTGCAGATAGTAGTGATGGGTGTGTATTGATCAAGCCACCAATAACCACATACACACAATCAATGATGGTTGAGTCCAGCAGCCTGGCCACTCGAGCACTTTCACCTCACACGCCCTGCAGGTAACCATCCTCACACTCTGGTGTTACTTGGCCCTCTTCTCTCCTGGGGCACTGCTCAACCTCAGGGTCCCCCTCACCCACTACTGACCACCCACTGAGGGGCCAGACTATCTACCATAACCTAACCTAAGTCACTAGCACTGGACGTCCCTAAGATGGCCCCAAGTGTTTGGAGCCAGCAAGGGCGAGGCAGGGGCACTAATAGGGCAGTTTAGGCTTGTATGTCTAGCCCAAGTTGGTGCCCCTCAGTCACACCTGACAGGCCGACCTGTGTCTCGCAAGTACGACACCTGGCACTCAAAGAGCCAGGACACGAGGCACCACGACTGGAGATGACACAGGAAACAGCAGCGGGACGGAGCAGATACCGTGGCACCGTCCGAGCTGCCACCGCACGCCTGACTGAGGGGCGACGCCCCCGTTTACTGGGGAGGTGTTATGGAGGAGGGGGGAGGGGAGGGTCTACAAAGACAGTATGACTCACGCGTTAACCCTACAGTGTGGATCACCCTAGACGTGGAGTGTCACTGGGTAAGCTGGTAGTAATGAAGCAGGGTGACCGCCTGCACAGCAGGAAGAGCTGGCGTCTAGGGAGGCGATGGTGTGGTGGTCGCCACGATAACGTAGTGGCCTCACGTCCCAGCGTGCTGGCTGCCGACGGTCGCCATGCGTGGCCCTCACCCTGCCCCCCTCACTACAACCATCTGCGCCTGTAATAACCTCTCCGCTACTTAACATTTCTAGTTTATTAACTGCTTAGCGCTACTGCACACTTGGAGATGGTCGTGTGGGCGTGTTGGGGGCGGGGAGGGGTCCCTGGCAAGATGTAATGGTAGTGGTGGTGAGGGCGGCAGTTTGGGAGCAGCAGCAGCAGCGATCAATACAGCAGCAGCAGCAGCGCCGCAACGACCCCCCCCCCTACTTTCCAGTCACCATGTGCCGCCACGCTCCACAACAACACTACCGACACACCACATAACTCCCAATAAAAAATCTCGCTAAAGAAGCTGCTCATTCTAAACACGGACCACTAACTGCATCGTCATTGGTATCCGCTCCAGTAGTCATTACCGAGCACCGGGTGTCTCCTGACTTTTGTTGAGCCTAATGAGAGAAGACGAGTGTTGACATGTGTAGCTCTACGACTGGAGAGCAAGGCACTAGCTCTGGCCCTCGGCACCAGACCCTCCGTCACCTTCGCTAAAATCGGTGAATGTCAAGGCCGCGGCCCTCCCCCCCCCCTTCCCCGTGCCACGCCCCTTCCCGTCTTGAACCAGTGTGATGCCTCACTCCTCACACGTGCCCACAGGAACAAATCCAGGCCATAGTTAGATTAAAAAATTACCATTTAGTATTTTCCTCTGGCGTGAATGGGTCAGCTGGTATACGGAGTCAATGTGTACACACCACCGCCATCTGAGGAAGGTGCCGTAATGAAGCCATGTGGGCGTGGTAGTGGGATCACGGCAGGGGATGACCGCCCAGCATCACCCACATCCAGAAGAGTCATCCCGCGCCATGCACCCCCCCCCCACCCCCGTCACATTAGCCCAGTCAGAGGAGGAGACCGCATGTCACCTGGCCCCGCCCACACAGTTGAATCCACCTACATAATCAATCTACATAATCCACCAACAATATCACTGTCTATGACAGCCCCGCTCCTGTGCCAGGCAAGTCCACTACGGGCTTACCATAGCCCGTGCTACTTGCAACTTTTTGTTCGAGGAGCTGAATCCATAACAACATCACTGTCTATTACGGGCTCACTATAGCCCGTGCTACAAGGAAATTTTGTTCCGAGTAGTCATTGATATCGCTGCTTAGCGATATCAATGAAAGAGCTAAATCTAAAATACCAACAGTCACTGTCCACTAGTTCCCATTCTCCCAGGCCAATGACTGGCCACATCTTAAGCACCACACTCCCATACAAGCTTCTTCGTCAACGTTATCCATAACACACAATAAAGAACATTAACACAAACAAAGAATTTGCACCATAAACCGACAGTACTGCCATACGGGTCTCACCTTTCACAATCCCATATTAATAAAACAAAACAATGCACTGTAACAGTAGCACAAGCAATAAGAAGAAAAAATCTTGAATACCGGCGAAATACCAGAAGGGAGCAACAGCCTCAGTATGGTCGCATTAATGTTAGATACCATTGAAGATCTATGGAAGGGTAATTGGTAGTCAAACTAGCAGTTGTATGGAGAACAACCAACTACACAATCCAGATCAGTGTGGATTTGGAGCAGGAACATCTTGACTGTCGCAATCACATTCCCAGCCTTCACATGCACCATCAAAGCAAACATCCTTTATAAATGCCAGCCTCCTCCAGTGAAACGCGCCTTGCCTCTCGTTTACCCAATAATGTTAATAGACCGTCGTAGACTTCACCCAATAACGATGAAATAGCCTGCAAACGAGCTAATATACGAAGTCCTTGAAACCAACCCAAATCCAATCAAGCTAAAGGCTTCCATATTTCCTATAGTGTAATGTTTCTTCTCTTTCATCACGCCGCTATTAAAACTATCACTCGTTTTGCATGCTATTACAGTAGCCATGGATGCTCAATCCCCCAGCCCCACCCTGCTTGCCAATACACACACTAATACAGTATGGCAAAGGGAATATGAAAGGTAGTACCTACACCATCCTAAACTAAATATATAATGAGGACTGAACCCAGAGAGCCATATAGTACTGATACAGCACCTCAACATCACCACATTTTCAAGAAGATATTAGACAAAGGAGTAAATAGAATTTGGAAGAGGAGCAGCACCAACAGGAGCGAGGAGGAATATCAGCAAATCAGGATGAGGAGGAAGAGGAGCAGGCGGCGGCCGCAGGTGTTGCTGTGCAGGTTCCTTGCTGGTGGTCAGCCCGACGCCCCACGCCGACCAGATGAAGATAAAGATATACGACCCGCCCGGGACACCACCTCACTGCCAATCAAATTTAACTTCTGGCACACCAATGTTACTACCTTTCTATTTTTGTCTTCACACTACTACACAGCCCGGTTGACCAGACCACCAACCAGGAGGCCTGGCCAAAAACCGAGTCGCGGACACGTTGGGCCTCTGAACTATCGCAAGGTAGCACCCAAAACTGTATTCAACTACAAGATATCCAAAAGGTTGGGCTAGGAGCCGACACTGGAACCCTGCAAGCACATATAGTTGAGCACGCGCACATTCCAAAATGGCTCCCCCCCCCCCCTGCTATTCAAGACGTAGTGGAAGGATATCGACAGCGACGATACGGGAGCGATCTCAACGCCAATTGATAAGTGGGGTTTGCAGCTCTGTTAGCACAGAGTTGATTGATAACACGAAAATAGAAACTACAATACCAACAACCATTCAAACGAATTTATATGAAGCAAGATATATATATTAACTAAGAAATGCTAGAGAGCCAGACAGGAGAAACAATGCTATTAAATAAACAGAAGAGGAACCAAGGAATTTATCAACCCAGGCTAGCCCCGAAATCAACTCAAGATAACCTCAAGAAGATAGCCAGGCGAATAGCAACCAGGACAGAGGCAACACAAATCTGAACATCCCCAAGTACAAGGGACCCGAGGACACAAACTGACCCACTCATCACAATCAAGGTACAACCCCCCCCCTCCACCAACTTGGCTCTTGTCTCCTCTCCCTCAGCGACTATTGTACCTGGAAGGGATTACATAAGAACAAAGGTAACTGCAGAAGGCCTATTGGCCCATACGAGGCAGCTCCTATTCTATAACCACCCAATCCCACTCATATACTTGTCCAACCCGTGCTTGAAACAATCGAGGGACCCCACCTCCCCAATGTTACGCGGCAATTGGTTCCACAAATCAACAACCCTGTTACTGAACCAGTATTTACCCAAGTCTTTCCTAAATCTAAACTTATCCAATTTATATCCATTGTTTCGTGTTCTGTCCTGTGTTGATACTTTTAATACCCTATTAATATCCCCCCGGGTGATATTAATTCTTAGAGTTAATTAAGAGTTAATTATTAATTATTGAGTTAATTATATCCCCCCGGGTGATATTAATTCTTAGAATTAATTCTTAGATTCTAAGAGTTCTTCTACTCCCCCAAAGTGAGAGAGACCATGCAGGCTCCCGTTCTTCCCAGTCATCCACTGTATTCCCCCCCCCTCTTTCCTTCCATACTACTACATTCAAACCACCACTTCTCATCTCTTGTAACCTAATTCGTCCCTTACGAATGCAGCTACACCAACTCCTGCTTCCATGCACACAACCCTCAACTCTACCAGCCCAGCACCACTTTCCCCTGCAGTCCCCCATTCCCCAATCATCCACCTAATTCTCAAATCTATTCACCCACTTCCCAAATCTATCCATCCATAAATTCCCTTGGCACAGATGAAGAAAATGGACCTCAGTCAGATACACAAATGATGAACTCGTACAAAACAAATGAGACGAACACTGGGGAAAATAGTGGTGACGAAACTCAAATTATAACCATTGTAGTTCCCTCCATTGACAAAACAGACAGAAAGCGGACAGAAAATAATTTCGTTAATATGGGAGGATTAGTAATAGCAGTACTTGTGAAGAGGGGAAATGAGGTATTGGAAAAAAAAACAAAGGATGCAAATGAATACAAAGAGCGGTGGTCGTCTACAATGCCATACTGAACAACTACCTGAAGACACAGACGTATGAGAATACAAAGCTTGCATATACTACAAAACAGGATGATCCACACAAAAAACTAAACTCCAAATCATTGGTGAGTTCATCTACAGATAAATATAAAGCTGAACAGACCACTGGAACTGACCCCCCAACCAACTGAACAAAGGGTAAACACCAAAAGATTAGAAGACAGCCAAAGTTGTACCAACAGTTAAGAAATTAGCAAGGCATGAGGCTACAAACTAATGACCAGTGTCACTCGCATGCATTCTCTGCCAAGTGCTATAGAGGATTATCAGGAGATTAACCAATCATCTAGAAAGGCGCAAACTACAAACATTAACTTTTTTCAGAAAAAACAAGGCTTGCTTAGCGAGCCTAATGTTTTATCACACAGCAACATCCGTAACACACGGGAGAGAGAGATACAGACTGTGTTTCTGGATTGTCAAAAGGAATGTTTACATTTCCGTATGATAAAGCTGGGATAACAAGGCGAATGCTAAACCGAATTAAAAATGAAAATTTTCACCGCTGTGAAAATCAACTTCGTCAGTGCCAGGGTCTTGAATCACAAAACTTCTGCCCAGAAATTGTAAGAGAATATGAAGGTATTCTGCAATACACACAAGTTCGCTGGCTTTCCAAAGGAAAAATACAATATTTTTATTAAAATTCTGACAGAAAAGAAAACGGAGAAAGAAAAAAAGATTAAAATGAGCCACTAAATGTCATTTCACCGTTACCATTCCTGGTCGATCCCCACCAGAGGAGAAAGAATATGGTTCACGGATTGCTGGACAGCCGGGAACACTATGCACCAATATAACTGGTTAAGCACCAATAGGTTACCCCGGCGGCCGCCCACAAGAACACCGTGTGTTCCGTGGAGGGTCAGAGGCCACTGTGGCTGGCCCGCCGGCTGGCCTGCCCGCCCGCCAAGCTAACATACCACACCAATATTCCCGCCGTTACCATCGCCTCGGAGCCCGCCACACGACGACGGGGGCAGTCCTGCTTT